AGTACAGCAACAAAGGTACTGCGTACTTTGATCTCTTTAACAGTAGAATACATAATAAAGAAATCCAACAATGATGAACGAAGCGAATTGATAATCGAGGGTGCCATTAACCGATATAATTAATGTACTAAAATGAGAATCTAGAATCAGTAATTTGATATACAATCTTCACCGACAGAATTTTCAATTCAGACTCAATATTTTGACAATTTACAGCTCTTCCGTCCCAATGATCATTTAGTCGCGATAGAAAGTCGTATAGAAAACATTTTGAATGTCTTTGAATCAACACAAAAAGAATCAAACAAAATATTTTTGAAAGATATTTAAAAAATGATTGGTATGTATGTTTCAAAAAAAGTGAAAGTCAGCTTGAAATTATCAGGTTGATATCGGTTATAGTTAATTTCTTTTCACATTCTGAGTAAAAATCATACAGTCAAACAAAAAAGAAAATATTCGAACAGTGTTTGCTTTTGTCTTTTGAATGTTTTATTTATAATGTGGTTCAATAATAATTTAATTTTTCATGTTCTACAGAATGACACGTAAACAATTCCAAAATGGCTCCCATCATGTATATTATTTTTTCCTGTTATTAAATTTAAATAAAATCTTTCAGCAATGCCATAGTTCATATAGGTTTTCTGCTTCCTAATTTCTCTGTATGAATTTCATCGATGAAATAAAAAAGAGCTTAATAAAAACAGAAAGTACTATGCAAGGTGCGAATAGAGCTAAACAGGATTAGAATAGGCTATGGTTGAGAACTTTGTTGCCCATACTTGACTCATGCACAACTCTTATTCCCGTTACGGTATCGTTTCAGAAAATAATATAATCAGAAAGAGTAGGAGTATATCTGGCATTTCAAAACTTTGCAATTGTTTTCTATTACCAGAACTTAAACGTATTATATATAAATGTCAATAATCGTGTGTGTCTCTGACCTATCACCGTATCGTCTATAGCCATGAAGTTCATATGAATATTGAGTTTCAAGGGCTAGTATTCGTCTCGCGAATTGCAGCGCCCTAACTTGAGTAATCGATTGTAGTTGGAAATTGCAGACAATGGTATAGAAGAACAAACAGAGAAAACACAACATTAATAACACTTATCGTTAACCGACCAGATGAAAAAAATAGCGACTGTTTTTTTCTTTCTTATTGAAGTCGGAAAAAGTTTCTATCAATTTTGACATGAAAAACCGTTTTCATTGAAACTATTTTCATAGCGAATAGAAAGAGAGAAAATTTATAGAAGAAAAAAAAAACACTTTTTAATTTTAGTTTCAATTGATCATTTCGTTAATAAATTAAGTTTGTTGAGTTATTAAATCTTCTTTTATTTGTTGTGTTCAAAAAAATTAAAGAATGTCGGTTTTTTTTGTCTATTGCGATTGTTGTGTCGAGAATGTTAAAGTTGTTTATTAGAACAAAGTTCACTCTATAAAGACCTATGCGAAGACACCCATGCAAGAAGAAAAGAATATGATAAAAGGATCTACTTTTCGGTTACATTGTTTATTGTCACAACCAGCGTGTAGATATGTCTGCGCATGAGTTCACTTTTATTACCTTCTCGTTGTCTATCTTCTGTTTGTTGTTTGCCAATAATTACTATGACGAATAGAAATATATTCTGATGCTCTTTATTGAAGCAAAAGCTGGCACTAATACTGACGAGAAAATAGCGCATATAATAAAAAAGAATAAAGGAAATTTATCTCTTTTAGAATGGTGTTACATATGTTGTACCATTTTCTTTTGTAGTAGGAAACAAACTGTCTTGTTTATCTTAAATACTTAGACCTGACAAACGACCATCAATATCATACGTTGGCCTAATTGTCATCTTATGCATTATCTTTTCTTTTTTTTATCCTGTCGTATAGATCTTTCTCAAATGCTCTTCTTTTTTTCTATTACTGTGCATCGACGTCATGATTTCTGTCTCTCTCTCTCTCTCTCTCGTGTTGATATATTTCCATTAAAAAAGTTTTCCTTCTATATTACTCTTATATACATGTACCAGGTGAGTATGGAATCTAATTGAGATTGTAATATCACTTGTTATTTTTTAATAAGAAGTACAGTTAAAATATTAATTTACAAAATCACTATTATTACAGTAATTATTTTTTCTTTTTGACATAATGAATTTCAACTTTGTATAGTTTTAAAATGATAAGGACATGGAAACATATAATGGTTGGTTGAATCTTATTGAAAAATAATTTTTTCTGCTATATAATGATGTAGTATTTTACTCGTTTTTTTCGTTTGCAATGAATGTAAATTTTTTGTATAGCTATTAAAATGATGAGAACATAGGAACATTCAATAATTGATTAAATTTGATTAGATTTTTTTTTCTTTTTTATTCTGATCTAGTATTAATTTTTTTCAGCAATAAATTTTAACTTTGTTTACTTTTTTGCATGATGGGGACATTGGCCATTGAATCATTAGTTTCATACGATTGAATTTTCTTTTCTCTGTTATATAATAATGTAGGACTTTTTCCTATGATGAACAAAATTTTTTTGAATGCTCTTTTAAACGACGGAAGCATGGAAGTCATGAAATGATTAGTTGAATTAGATAAAAACATGTTTTTTTAATTATACAGAAATGTTTTTATCATTAATTCATATAAATGAGAAAATAACATGTACATTTAAGAGTTTTAGTTCTAATTTTTAGTAGATGTTCATTTATGTATGGGAATTTTTCGTCTTTATGCGACCATTTTCAACCTTGAAAACATTCGATGGTACAACTATAAAAAAACAAAAGTGATAAGTACAACTAACGACAGAAATAAATATAATAGAAACTTATAAATGTGATGTTCGTAATCAGATTTGAATGTTTTGTTCAATTGATCATCATGAAACAAACACATACGTCTGAAGGTGTAGATGTGGGTGGGTGTGTGGGTGTGGGCGAAGAGAACAGTTACGCTCATACTTCCACACACGCCCCCACCCACACATACTCACAATTCAAGAGATAGTTAGTTGCATTAAAAAAATAAATCTTGAATGCAAAAATAAAAACTATTTATATTGAAAAGAAACTAGGTTTTTTTATATCATAGTTTAGTTTAGTTTTAAATTTAAATCACCGTATCTTCAACTAAGAATTAAATAACGTTTGCTTCATTTAAATTTATTCTTAACTTTAAAATTATTAGAATTTATATTTAAAATACAATAACATAAAATTATGATATCAAAAGGTTTAAATTATTTTTAGGTTTTTTCTAAAATTTAGTACATCTAATAATTTTAAAATATATAAATTAGCACTTCCTCGCTGCGAGATAAAGTTTTTTCTTTGTACTTCTACTTTTTTGTTTCCATATACTCTTACATTTTCAACATATGAAATACAAAATATAACAAGATATATCAAGACAGGGAGGCACAAAGTATACTATCTATCTTTGGCCTCACTATTGATTATGAAACTCTCTGATTGTCATTCTAACTCGAAAAAAATTAATAACATCAGTGCCAATCGACATAGTTTTAATAAAAAATAAATGCATGAGGGTGTGGATGGATGTGGCTGTGGGTGAAGAGAACAGTTACGCTCACACCCACACCCTACACCTTCGAGACAGGCATTTTACTAAAAAATTAAAAAATTAAATTTACAATTACAATGGATCGAAAGTTCTGCAATTATATTTTACAAAGTTAAAAGCGAATTTGATATTAGAGCATGCATATAAATAAAAGTATTTTTGTAAAAGTCTTGTTAGGGAGGCCCCCTTCGAATTGTAAGGTAGAACTCATCCAAGGCGAAAAGAGCTAAAACCAGATTCTTTTTCTCAAATTGAGTCAGATGATTAAGCTACGTTTTGGGTGTGAGTGTGGGTGTGGGAGTGGGTGCGAGTGTTGCTCTTCTGAAAAGACACCCACACCCACCCTTTATTTTTATACACATTGAATTAAATCTCAAATCAGGCTTTTGTAAGTATCTGTTGCAAGAGACATTGAAATTCAGGAAAAATTTACTTTTTCTTCGAGATCGATTTATGAACACTGATATTGATCATTTTTTAAAGTTATAGCTTGATCAATGCACGCTTTCACGTTGACCAGATGACAACTATGATATCTCAATGTATTCCTACCAATCATTGTTGACATCTTGTATACAGATATATTTACACAAAAGTCACAAAGTGCACTATTTAAAACATTCACCAATATATTCCAGTCATTCAAATTTCGCTGAAAATTTTAGAAAATTTAAAAACATTTTGATCCTAGTAATTACCTTCTGCCAAAGTTCGGGCCTGATTCGACTGGTTTTTGACGAAAGTCACGATTTTCGGTGACCATGCAATGCTGGATCTAACTTTTTTCGATAGGCTTCACAGGTTTAATCTAACCACTTGATAATGTTAAAAAGACCAGAATCTGTTGAATACTATATTAACGAAAATTATTCTTCAGAAAAAAGCAAAATCCTTTTGTATTTTTCCAAAATTTTGAGATTAGGATTTTCTCTGTATTGAAATTGTTGATTTTGCATCGGCAAAAAAAAAATTTGACAATCGTTGACTTTCTGTCTTTATCCTATATATAGATTAAATAGTAATCAAATAACTTTGATTATTTTATTTATCCGTATTGTGCAAAACATAAGTTAATCGAGAAAAGTGTAAATAACTTACTCGGTGGCACTTGATCTAGTGGTGGAACAGGGTTATTATCAATTTTAACCAAGTGTACGACATGTGAACCATCTGTATGATCTAATATGTTGGCTTTTACACGAAATTCGGTACCCACTCGTAAAATAACTTCATCTTCATCCTCATACTGGATGTAACCAGAAATTTTTTTCCCATTGGCGGCTTCAATGAGGAAAAGAGTTGAACTTTTGTCTTTCTCAAGGAAACTTTTAAAAATGTCGATTGATAACGAACATGAATTAATACTCCATCATGTCACAGTTTGATCTTTGCAGAGGCTCTTACCAATGTCAAGTAGTACATCTCTCCATACAATCTGTTTAACAGTAGGTAACTTATCCAATGCTGTATCAAATAATTTTAAATATGGAAACCATATCTTAAATGCTTGTCGATTTTCTGATCGCAATTCCAAATTTAATACACGATACAAAACAGTATCACCCCATTCCACTGTGTAAATGTACACAGCACCTGATTGATCATGTGTTAGTCCATGTTCGGATGGAAAACAACACCTTTGTTTGGCCTCCTTTATGTAACGAGATGGTTCGTTGATTTAAGGCTCGATAGGTTCTACTCTTTTTTCTAGTGTAACGTCTTTTGCACTGCAATAACTGTATACTGGCGGAATTTCTTTAAATGAAACATCAATATCACCAAAGTGACTCATTACGCACGTGTTTTATATGCTTTTAAACGTTGATGAAAGTACAATTATTATGAATTCGAAATAATTGATCAAAATATTTCTTGTTTATTTTCCTATAGAACATTATTTAAAAAAGGCGTTACCGTAATCCGTGAGGAATTCAAACGTGAAACAGAATCTAGCTATTCGTACTAGGTGTGCAAGTGTTGATGATGGTGTGATGGGGGGGGGGGGGTCATGGAAAGATCAAAACTCGTATCCTTGTTCGAACAGGTTTCGATAGGAAGAAGATAGAGATTTGGAGTGTTCAGCATTCGACAGAGGACAGTGAGGAACAATTGACCAATGGGTTAAATTTCTTAATGTAAGTTGCGAGGGTGAAGTTTCAAAGAAAATTTTCCATTACATTTTGTTTTCTAATATAACCATTCTATACAGAAAAGCATTCTCTTTCTATCTACGCAAAGCTCATATTTCTAACATGTTAAGTTCAGTAAATATGAGGATTTTCCAAAATCCTTGATTTTCGTACAGTAGGTCTCTGATCACTCGAAAATAAATCTGAAAAGGGCTCATTGGTCATGCTGAGTCCAGTGGTGATATTTTTTTTCCAAGGTTTGTCTCGTGTCCAATTTTTTCTTTTCATAGCTTTTTTTTTGTTTGTATTTTCGTCGAGAGAGTGGAGCTATCAAAAACATTTATTTATTTGTTTTGTTTTCTTTTTGATTTTCTTTATTACTTGATTTATTACTTAACTTATTATAAAAAATATCTATTGATAGATGTTTTTCTTTGTCTTGTACTACATATATATTATCGATTTACTAATACATGCTTGAAACAAAAATGCTTCTTTCTGACTATCTTTGATCTTATATTTGAATTCGTGAGCTTCAGAAAAGACTTTAAAAAAGATTTTTCGCACAACTGATATATCTTCAGAGACTGTATGAATCGATCGAAATGTAGGCATCGAGTATCGCTGTTTGTCTTTTCTTCATCTAAACCTCACACCCACATTCACCTGCCCAATACATCGTCTTTCCTCATTCATTTTTCGAACCGAGAAACATTTGAATGGTTAAATAAAGCTTCTATGTAAATCTAGGAACGTTACAATCAAGGGAGTAATAGAAAAATATAAAGTACGAATTAAAAGGTTAACAAGCCTGCAAGAGAATATTCAAACTGTCAGTTCCATTATTAGCAACAGCAACATCTAGTTTTCTGTCATTGTTGAAGTCTCCAACGACAATAGAGAATGGATTGGATCCATAGTCCAACGGAAAAACGATGATACTTGCAAATGTGCCGTTACCATGTCCAAGAAATACACCTAGATTGTTGTTGTCATGATTTGCGACGACAATGTCTTGTATAGTATCGTTGTTAATGTCACCAACAGCTAGAGAGTATCGAGAGGAATTTGACCCTGTTGAATACACCATTAGATTTCCAAAAGAGCCATTGCCACATCCAAGAAAAACACCAACATTTTCCGAGGCACAACTACCAAAAACGATATCCACTCGAGTATCATTGTTGAAATCACCAACAGCCATAGCGCATGGAGACAAATATGGGTGAGTTGAATATGTTGCTTGATTTGTAAAAGATATATTACCATATCCAAGAAAAATCCCAATATTGTGAGTAAGTGAATTGACGACACCGATATCCATTAGACCATCATTATTAAAATCGCTAATTACTAGCGACTGTGGTCGGGAACCATTTCCAGTCATGAGCATCATTTGCTTTACAAAAACTATATAGTCATAACCAAAAAGGACACTCACATCCGTGCTACCTGAATTGGTGACAACGATATCTAGTCGAGTGTCGTTGTTGAAATCACCAACAGCTACAGAAT